TTGTGACTGAGGTATTTCACTCAGCATAATGTCCTCCATTTTGAATAATATTGCATGAGTTCCTTGTTTTTCAATGCAGCTAGTATTCCATTGTGTGAATGTACCAGAGCTTCTCTACCCATTGGTTTGCTGATGTGCCCATAGGTTGTTTCCAACTCTTTGCTATTGTGAACAAAGCTGTGGTAAACATGGATCTGTATATATCTGCTTGGGTGGTGGTTATGGTTTCTTTGGGGTATATTCCCAGTAGTGGAATTGCTGGGACAAATGGTATTTCTATTTGCAACTTATTGAGAAAGTACCATACTGCCCTCCACAGTGGTTGCACCATTTTACACTCCCATCAACAGTGAACAAGGGTTTCATTTTCTCCACAACCTCACCAGCATTTGTTGCTTGCTGTTTTGTTGAATTTTGCTATTCTTACTGGGGTGAGATGATATCTCATAGTTGTTTTGATTTGCATCTCTCTTAGAGCTAGGGATTTTGAACATTTCTTCGTGGAACATTATGTGTTTGTTGGCCATCTGAATGTCTTCTTTGGTGAAGTGTCTGTTCATATCCTGTGCCCATTTTTCAGTTGAATTGTTTACCTTTATTTTGTTGTGGTGCTCAAATATTTTATAAACTCTAGATATAAGTCCTTTATGTACATGTCATTATCAAATACTTTTTCCCAGTCTGTGGCTTCCTTTTTTACCCTGTTGGAGAAGTTTTTGGATGTGCTTAGGGATTTGATTCTTAAAAGGTCCCATTCATCTATTTTATCCTCTCCTGATTGTAGATTTTTCAGGATACGTGGAGGACTGTTTATGTTGTGGATTTGAAATTCTAGAATTCTTCCAAGCATTTCTTTAATGAAGTTCATAGTCCTTGGTTTTAGTCCTAGGTCCACAATCCACCTAGGGTTGTTTTTTTTTTGTGTATGGAGTGAGGTGTGGATCTTGCTTGAGTCTTCTACAGATATTTTTCCAATTTTGCCAACACCATTTGTTAAAAATAGGCTGTCGTTTCTCCATTTAACTGATTTCATCTTCATGTCAAAAATCAGTTGACCATTGGTAGATGGGCTGATTTCCAGGTTGTCAATTCTATTCCACTGAGCTATGTGTCTGTCATTGTACCAGTACCATGTTGTCTTGACCACCATGACAGTGTAGTAGGATTTGAAATCAGGGAATGAGATGCCTCCTATCTTCTTTCTATTTTTCAGAAGTGTTTTGCTTATTTGGGGCTTCTTCCCATTCCAAATGAAATTGGAGATTGCCTTTTCCATATCATTGAAGAATGGGATTGGTATTTATATTGGTATTGCATTGAACATGTAAATTGCCTTTGGTAGTATTGCCATTTTCACAACATTAAGTCTTCCTACCCATGAGCAAGGGATATTCTTCCACTTCTCCAGGTCTCTTTTTGTTATTATAATAATATTTTATAATTTTCTTTGAATAGATCCTTTGTGCTTCTGGGTACATTTACTCTTAAGTATTTAATCTTGTGATTAGCTATTGTGAGGAGTATTATTTTTCTTAGCTCTGGTTCTGTATTTTCTTTGTCACTGTAGAGAAATCCAACTGATTTTTGTATGTTGATCTTGTATCCTACTTTGCTGAATAGGCCCACTATAGTTTTCTTGCTGAGTCTTTAGCGTTTTCGAAGTATATTATCATATCATCTGCATAGAGAGAAAATTTTACCTCATCTTTGCCAATTTGTATACCTCTTATTTCCTTCTCTTGTCTTATTGCTATCTCTAAGACTTCCAATACAATATTAAGAGAGCTGATAGTGAGCCTCTTTGTCCAGTTCCTGTTCTTAAAGGGAATGCCTTTAACCTCTCTCCATTGAGAACAATCTTGGTTCTGGGATTTGCATAAATACTTTTTACTATATTAAAGAAATTCCCCTCTAATCCTATTTTGTTGAGTATTTTAATCAGGAAAGGATGTTGGATTTTGTCAAAGACCTTTTCTGCATTAATTGATAGGATCATGTGGTTCTTGTTCTTTGCTTTGTTAATGTGTTGAATTACATTGATTGTTTTCTTATGTTGAACCATCCTTGCATCCCTGTTATGAATCCCACTTGGCATGATGAAAATTATTTTTTAAATACGTGAGCTTATTTATTTGCCACACATAGAAAATTCTATTTCTGACTGGATTCGGATTTGGAAGTAGAAGCTTTCAGAGAGGACAGCTTCTGTCTCTTGGCGATCTGCTCCTGGCGTTTCTCTTTGGCCTCCTTCATTCTCTTGGCTAAAAGCTTAGCATACTCTGCAGACTCCTCCTTATTCTTCTTGGTGTGCAGTTTCTTAAGCGAAATGCACCTGTGGCACTTGTGCTACAGGACGTATGGAGTAACAAGACGCTGAATCTTGGGCGCTTTGGTCCTGGGTTTCTTGCCTTCTTTGTTCAGTGGCTTTCTCACAACATATTGACAGACATCATCTTCCTTGAAGAGGTTGAAGAGTTTGCAAATTCTGCTGGCTCTCTTGGGCCCCAGGGGACATGGCACAGTGGTATCAGTCAGTCCTGGGATATCCTTATCCCCTTTCTTGACAATGACCAAGTTGAGAACACTCAGATTGGCATCCACAATGCAACACCGGACAGATTTGCGCTTCCTCTCTCCTGTTCTCCTTGGTCTGTAACAAGAGTGCCCCTTACTCAGCAGCAGATGAACTCAGCCATGGGTCAAGACACCCTGCTTCATGGGGAAACCTTGCTTGTCATTTCTACCGCTGATCTGGACAACATATCCCTTCCACTCGTCACTGAGAAAGTCAGCAGCAACTTCTGTGGCCATTTGCTTCTCATAAAATGTATGAAGTTTGTGTTCATAGTCCACTTCAATGAGTTTCTGGCAGCCAGTGGCTGGGAAAGAGATGTTCAGCTTCATGGTGAAGCAGCCAACGGCCCCAGCGGTGCCAAAAAAAAAAGAGCATGAATTATTTCTTTGATATATCGTTGGATTCTACTGGTCGGTATTTTATTCAGGATTTTTGCATCTATGTTCATAAGAGATATTGGGATATTGGCCTATAGTTTTCTATTTTGGTGGTGTCCTTTCCTGGCTTTGGTATCAAGGATATGTTTGCTTCATAGAATGAGTCTGGAAGAATCCCATCTTTTTCTATTTTCTGAAATAGATTATGCAGATTTGTCCTGGAAAGGGTTAAACCAGGTGGCTCCTTGGAGGCAAGGATTCTGAGGCTCCGTCTAACATAGTTTGGACATGTTGTTAGGAGAGACCAGTCCTTAGAGAGGGACATCATGCTTGGAAGGGTGGAGGGACGGCGCAGGAGAGGAAGGCCCTCTATGAGGTAGATTGATTCAGTGACTGGGATAATTAGGATGGGAGTGTCGGAGACAGTGCAATTGGCACAGGACAGAGTGGAGTTTAGGGCTGTTGTACATGGGGTCGCTATGAGTCGAAGGTGACTCAACAGCACATAACAACAACAACAACAATTTATGTAGAATTGGTGAAGGTTCTTCTCTGAATGTTTGATAAAATTCACTTGTAAAACCATCTGCTACAGGACATTTTTTGATTGGAAGTTGCTGTATTACCTTTTCAATTTCTTCTTTTGTAATGTGTCTGTTTAGATGTTCAATTTATTTGAGTATAGTTTCTCATAATACTCTAACGTTAGGCTTTTTATTTTAGTTGGTTCTGTTGTGATGTTGCTTGATTCATCTCTTAGTCGGATTATTTGTGTCTTCTCCTTTTCTTTTGTTAGTTTTGCTAGTGGTTTGTTGATTTTATTGACCTTTTCAAAGAACCAACTCCTAATTTTGTTGATAGGTTCAATTGGTTTTGGTTTTCTATTTCATTTCTTTCTACTCTAATTTTTATAATTTCAGGGTTTTTAGAGGGTGTCAGGTTTTCTTGCTGTTCTTTTTCAATTTTTTGGAGATGTTGGGTTAGAGAGTCAATGGTCAATTTTTCTTGCCTTTTGATTTGTTTGCTTATTGCTATAAATTGACCTACTGTTTTGGCTGTTTACCAGAGGTTTTGGTAAGTAACTTTATTGTTTTTACTTAGCTACTTTTACTTCCTTTTTCATACACCAAAACCTTGCTTCCTAATTACAGTAACATCATTATTATTATTATTATTATTATATTTGTTATCATTTCAAAATAACAATACAATATTACTATTAACAAGAAGAGTCCTGGTGGTGCTAGGCTAGAAACTAGAAGGTCAGAGATTCAAGTCCACTCAGAGAGGCCTTGGAAGAAATCCTTGGCGATTTTCTTCTGAAAAACCAGACATAGCAAACTCTCTGGAGCACAGATATTCTCTGATACACACAGAGTCACTGTGGGTCCAAGCAGAGTCCACTCAAACTTATGGCCTCTGGCTTAGTGTTACCAACCAAACCAGTGAGTGAGCGTCCTCCTGGACCCTTCATTTTCATGAGTTCTAGTTGCCTGCTCTAGTGGAGATCCAACAAAGTTTGTGGTGGGTACATTAAAAAAACAGGAAAAGAAGAAAAGCCACCCTTTTTCTTCTTCTTCACAAGAAAGTAACTTTTTTTCCCCCTTCACAAGCTTGCACTGTCACAAGCAAAGCTGTTCTTTTGGTCTTTTTCTTGCGTCATTAAACTTTGTACTTTTCCTTTGAAGCAAAACACACACAATCATCTTACTCAAATGCAGTCCCCAGTACCAAATTTCCACAGAAAGCAGGTTCTTTCTATATCCCTGATACAGAAAGTTTCTCCTCCTCTCCTTCTACTTCAACCTGAAGCTTCTTGAGAATCCAGGCTTTACTCTTTGTGAACCACACAATCTAGTACTTTTCCAAAAGTAGTTATTTAAAAAATTGTGTTATTATTGGGGAACTACACTGAGTGCTCTTTAGAGGTAAGGATGGAAAACTTTATCTCACATGTTTTGGGCATGTTGTTGGGAGAGGCTGAGTCTCTGGAAAGGGATACCATGCTTGGGAAATCTTCGACAATAGGCTCAAATACCTCAAAGTTGATGAGGAAGACTCAAGATAGCATAGGGTTCAGAGCTATTGGACATAGAGTCCCAACAAACTGTACGTGACTTGATGGGCCCTAACAACAATAATTAGTTTACAAGCCATGATATTTTTAATTCCTTCCTTTTAGTTTTAAAGTTGGGCAATGAAAAAGGATGGCATAAGAAGAATCGATACCTTTGAATTGTGGTGTTAGAGAAGAGTACTGAGAATTCCATATACTGCCAGAAGAACAAATTAATCTGTCCTGGAAAATATGCAACCAAAGTATTCCTTAGAGGCTAGGATGGTGAAATTTCATCTCACATACCTTGGGCATATTGTTAGGAAATGCCAGTCCCTGAAAAAGGACATCTTGCTTGGAAAGGTAGTAAGTCAGAGAAAGAGATGAAGGCCCTCAACAAGCTGGATTGACATATGTAACTGTAACAATGGGTTCTAACATATAAGAAATGGTGAAGAAAGCACAGAACAGGGCAAGGCTCAGAGCTGCAGTTCATAGGCTAGCTGCGAGTCATAGTAAAAGCAACAACAATTCACTTACAAAGGCAGCTCTGGTGATCTAGTGGGGTAGGGAGTTGCACTTCCAACCCAAAGGCTGGTGGTTCAAATCTACCCGCTGCTCCACAAGAGCAAGATAGGCAATCTTTCCCCGTACAATATACAGCCCGCCAAGCCCCACTAGAGTGTCAGTTATGAATCTTTTCCAATTTGAGGGCCATGAGTTTGAGATTAGCTTACAAAGGAGCCCTGTTGGCATGGTGCATAATGTATGATGCAGCTGGAGTCCACCAGGTGCTCCGCACAAGAGGCACAGGTACTTTTCCCTGATGGTTTGCAGTCTCTGAGGCCTGATGGAGAACAACTGAGTTGGAATTGACTACGGTGTTGGATTTGAATTTGAGGTTATTAGAGTACATAATAAACATTTAATCTTTGAAAATTTGGAAGGAAAAGTAAAGAAACTCTTTTAACATTATCTAGAAAAGTCCTAGACACGTATTTCAGATATCTTAACTATGCAGAGAGTATTACTGCAATGAGAAACAGCGATGTAGGCAGGAAAGTTTCCACAAGATTGAGTCATCTAAAGATAAACAGAAACAAGGAAGCTCCTGTGAGGTTTTTTCCTCTTCAAAATAAAAGATAATACAGATAATAACAGCCATACAGATAATTTTTCTTTGATATTTAGACATTTTCTTGGAAAATTATTTCCCATCTTAAAAACAAAACAAAATCAAAATATTAAACTCACTGTTATCTTGGAAATTCTGGCTGTCAGTCTTTGAGAAAGGGTATTATTTCTCTTTCTACTATAGACCAGAGGGTAGATTTGAACTGCCAACCTTTCCATTAGCAATTACAGACTTTTATAAAGGTCTGTTAGCATGTTACACAACCAGAAGGGAGTTCTGGTGGTCTAGCGGAAAGTGTCAGAACTGCTGGATTTGATAAATGTAAGATGTTTAAACTAGTGCTTGGCACACTAAATAAATAAATAAATAAATAAATTTATTTATTTATAAATAAATCGAGAAAGAAAGAAAGAAAGAAAGAAAGAAAGAAAGAAAGAAAGAAAGAAAGAAAGAAAGAAAGAAAGAAAGAAAGAATCTTAGAAAAGAAATAATAATAGCAAAAATGTTAATAGCAGCAAAACTTAAGTTTTTAAAAATTGGGGCATGTCATCAAACACTTTGAGAGTAGTGACTACATTTCACTTTTTTTTTAATTTGTGTGTGTATGTGTACCGTCAAATCAGATCTGACTGGTACAGGAGGAGATTGCCCCTCCTTCTCCAGCAGAGCATCTGGTGGATTTGAACCACATACCTATAGGACTGCAGTGCAGCTTCTTGCCACTAGGCCACCAGAGCTCCTTTACATTTTGCTTTTTAGCCAGTAATTTAAGTATTTGTTGTGTAGAGTTTGTTAACAGCTTTAGTTTCCTTGGCTCCACAATCAACACTCTTGATACCAGCAGCCAGGAAATAAAAAAACTAATTGCACTGGGAAAGTCTGCAGTCAGGGATCACACCAGAGTACTGAAAAGCAACGATGTCAGTCTGGAGACTAAGGTGCATCTGATCCAGGCCATATTCTTAGCTATTATTTGCTATGCATCAGAAAGCTGAACAATGACTAGGGATGATAGAAAGAGAATCGATGTCTTTAAGCTTTGGTGCTGGAAAAGAATATTGAATATACCATGGACTGCTAGGAGAAAAACAGGTTTGTCCTAAAGAGGGTTAAACCAGGCTTCTCATTGGCGGCAAGGATTGTGAGGCTTCATCTGACATACTTTCGGCATGTATCAAGGAGGAATCAGTGCTTAGAAGGATG